TTTAATGTGGTGATTAATTGTTAATTTTTGGTTTATTTTTGTTGACCGTTTGTGTTCTTTTCTGTTGACGAGCTAAATTACTTGACGCTCATTGTGCATCTAAATTATTTTAACTTATTTTGTTCACATTTGGGTCCTTTCCATAGTTCAGAAATATAATAAACTGTGGGGATGATGGTCATACAGGCCACTCTTTGGAATAAATTGTATGCTGAAAAATATCAACAAACGTCTTCTGATATCTACACCGGTAAATACTGCATTCCTTCTTGCTAAGATTACAGTGCCTTAGAATAACATTGTGTGAAATAAAATACATTAGTTTGAAAGGAAGAAAGGAATATGTACGCGTACTAAGAGTAACGATAATAAATGCGAATACAATAAATGTAATTTCTGGGAAAATAACTGCTTGGAAATTGATGTGCTCACATTTGACATGAGAGCATTGATGTTATGGTGAAGCAGTTAGAAAATTGCAAATAATGATATTGATGTTGGTCAGTACAGTGTATAATTCTGTAACATATATCTTAGCTACATGTTTAAAGTATTTGTATACTAACTACTACCTCACTAGTTTATTAATGAATACGAATGAAAGAACATTACGGAATGAATAAGCAGAGACTCGCAGAGGGTGGCAGCTCTGTAGCTGGCAGAGGACGTCAGTCTATGATTTCATAAGGCTGAGACAATATGCTGAGGCAGCGCCAGAGGGCGAAAGCTGATAGGCAGTCCATCACCCTACGAGCAGAAGGGACACGACAGTCGGCCAGAGGGCGTTGGCTCTCCAGCGGTCTACACTCCGCTTTCATCAACAGGAGGCGCTGCGGGCAACGGGTGGCGGCAGGCAGAAACGCATCTCACTCTCAAAATATTTTCACAAGGAACTTTTGTCGATTTGGTGACATAACATTGATATACGCGATTCGACAAATAAGAACGAATCTCTTGCTACACACAATATTATACACAATACAATATGACACATGTTTTCCAAAAGCACGAAAATTTTCTATACACATATCAAATTAATTTTATTTTGAATATACCATCAACTTGCTGAATTTAGTATTGATAAAATAGTTTTATTGGGCTGTATCATCTTCTCGGCTGCAAAAAGTGCGTAAAGAGAAGAAAATTTGATTTTGTTTGATTTTTTAAAAATTAAGTAAGATGTAATTGAAGTGTAGTCTGTTAGTAAATTGAAATCAACCATAAATCTGTATATTGAATCGCATTACGTAGCATTTGTCATATACAATGCCTCTTTTGAAATAGCGATCATTTCCATTATCGATAGCTGTATACATTAATCGCAATCTCCTGAAAATGTTGTTAAAACTATCTTTATTGTACTAAACAGCTCGAAATCAGAATTTGGCAACACATCTTCCTCCGTGTCATGGTGACGCCAAATTGGTAACTTTTTTGGAGGAATGGTTACAATGAGGTTTTACTTCCAGAACCGAGACCCAAACTAAACCGTTCGTATTTCTTATCAATACTACATGAAAAATTGAAAGTGGCCGAAAAGTGACAAATCTTTGCAGCTCGCACCAAAGTTATACCTCATCGATCTCGTGTATACAAAAATGTAATGAACATTTAATAAGAATATGAAACCATTTGAGATACGTAACTTTTTATTTAATCAAAAACGTGCAGCGTACATTTAATAAAATATAGAAATATTTCTCTTTATATAATACATTCCTACATTCTTTTGAGTATTCACAACTAAGTCAGCAAATGACTATCAAACTTAATAATTTCGTCAATAAAGGAGGGGTACACTTAGGGCCTTCGGATGTAAATTATATTATCTGACATTTTGGAGAAACTCGATATTATCCTTTATAAACGATGTTCATAAAGATTGATATCGAGTTCATCCAAAATATCAAATGCGATTATTTACACCCGAACGCCTCCTTTCAAGTAATCTTTTACTCATGTTGGAAAAATATCTGTCTATTTCTGATTGTGCTGATATTCAGAAGAAAACTTTCCTTTCCTTAAAAACAGCAGATAAATATTAAATTGCATTAAAAAGTTTAAAAGTCAAATATACCCGATAGATAGCAATTTTGAGCAATGAACGTATTTTTATAATTCTTGAAGTATAATTCTCGTTTATAAATGGTATTACTTAAACAGAAAGGAATTCATTTTAAATTTATAAACAATTAAAAGAAATCCTATGCAAAGTAATTTCAGTACATCATCCTCCATTACTTCTAGATGGTTTATATATTAAACACATGTATATCAAGTACCATTTGTACAAACTATTTACATTTTATTCCATTCATTCATTCATAATATTTTATATTATTCAAATATTCATTTATTATTATATTAATTATTCCAATTAAAATTTCAATGAATAATTTAATAGTAAATATTGGAAACTAACTCTATTAATGACATAATCATAAACGTTATCTCAATTTCATTCATTCTTACATCCTTCAATGAACACTAGAATTTTACAAATTTTATCTCCTTGCGTACACACTTAATTCACACTTCTCTGTATTACAAAATATATGTTCAAATGGATATTAGGAGTATGTTACTAACACAAAATACTTAATTATCTACAACATAAGTTAAAATCACATAAGACGTACTAAAATCATTTAAAACAAGTAAAAAAGACATATAAACATTAAATAATACACAATTTTAGTGCTTAGTCCATTTCGAAGCGTTGCGCGTTCTTCTCCGCAGTACAGTTCATTCTGTTGTCACGCGTGCGCGTGAGCATGGAATGCGATACTTTGCACAGAGGAGCGTCCGTGCGTGTGGAGGAGGAAGACAGGTGAGCATTCGCATTTCACGGAGAAAACGCACTTCTTCGCGGTCATCTTCATCGTCAAAAGTTGCATTGCTGACAGGCGCCGTGAAAAGGCTTCGCCGCCGAACGACAAATGATAGCAGTATTCGAACTGCAGAGAGTTTTTCAACAAGAGGTCTGTTCCTCAGTGAAATTTAAGAGGGAAATAATAATTTTAGTCACGTGAAGAACATCGTTCACAAATGAATACGACTTTGCTAATCTTCAAATATTATATAATTGAGACGTAAGAAAAATGATAGATTTATTTATATAGTAAATTGGAATGAAAATGAATGTATTTTGTTTTATCGATCGTACTAACAATAGTGTTTAATATATAAAGTATGTGATTCTGATTGTATTTTTAAAAAACTTAATTTTAAGCAATTTATGTAAATTGGGATTAATTTTGGAATTAAGCTTCTTTGAAAACAAAGTCTGTCTTCCAAACAAACTAAATGCTTAATATTTTTGTACAGGCACGTCCGTTAATATTTGAAATTTATTTTAAAAAATGAATTTAGTAAGGTCTGGTTTATGATCAGACAGATAACTGCATTAATAATACTGCAAGAAAAATCAGAGGTATTAGTGTAACACTTCAATGTAACAACAGAAATGCAGCAAGTCGAGAATACTGGCATGCAAAGTCGGATCTTTATACTAAATGTTGAAATAGAACAGACCTCATTGTTATGTCCTACTACTTTATTTAACCACACTTTCTCTTATCGGACGGAATTTGAAGCATTGTCAGAAAATATTTGTATACTGTAATGGTTAATAGATAGAATTTCTTGAAATAATTGCTCTTTGAGAAGCAATTACTGTTCAAGCATTCAATGCGATGGATACGACCTGTGTCAGCACCTGCAGTATTTCTCATGCGGCGGTTTACACCTTTCATTTAAAGAGACGACATTATTAATGTTACCTATTTACAAGAATAGGGGTTCTTAGCCATTTTATTTTCATACCGAAGAAAACATATTCTTCATAGCTCGTACATTTAAAATCAATAATTAAATTTTTGCGAGTGCGTTAGAATTGCATTAAATAAAGGATAGTCTTACCAACACGTTATTTCGTAGTAGGTAAACCCAAGCCCGAAATTCAAATCTTCGTTTCGCGAGGCACCGGCGTCCTTTAATCCGAGTTTTCAAACACATTTGGCGAACTTACCCTCTCACTCTTACTTGAAACCTCCCGCAGCTCTGTCTAGCACGGGGTGTCTCAGGCAGTGAGACTCACAATCCATAACACCAGTGGTGGAGACGGGCAATGTGAAGCCCGAAATCGCTGCTAAGGGCTCCCTCAGCAGGAAAACGACTACTGTGGCCTTGTCGATAAAAAAAGCGAGAGCCTTTCGCATAAAGAGTTCGTTTCAATGGGTGGTGCTTCCGGGATTCTTCAGCAGTAGTGTTGCGACATCGATCACAAAACGTCAATGTTTCCAAACATCGATGTTCAGAATTAAAACCTCGATGTTAATAATTCATAGGCTAATTCGGCGATTTTTGACATCGACTTTTTCAGTGTGGTTTAATAACTTCTAACAAATTCGTAGGCAAGGAAATTTATTTTGTCAGTGTACGCATTTGTTATTTCGCCGAATAAGTGTACGGAAAGAAAGTGCAGGTTCTTTGTACACAGTTCATTCATTGACCATCTCTTTCAATGTACGAAATAAATATGATGAAAGAGAAAATACAAGAGCACGGAGTTCTTCGGCGAGAGAAAGTTTGAATGGTGATCATGGGAATTTATCATTCAGAAACAAAATATCGGAAACGTAGAAACATCGGACGTCAAAGCTAAAAGTCATCGGCGTTAATATACCGATGTTTAAAACATTGATGCTTCAAAAAAAACATCCATGTTTAAAACTTCGACATTTCTACAAAAACCTCCATAATTTGAAAACATCGAAATCGATGTCGCATCCCCCTTTTCAGTAGAGGTGAGTGCACCTTGCCCTCTTTTCCACCACCGTTGACCAAAGCCTTACCGTGGGCTTACCCCGAGGCTAAGAACCCCTTCCTCTGTGTCTCTCTGCAGTCGTGCGTCCGCGGGCGGCGCGGGCGGGGCTGGCGCCGAGGGGGGTCCGGGATCAGTCTGTGGCGTGCGTGCGTGGGTGCGTGCGTGGGCCGCCTCAGCAGAAGCTGAGCTCGCGCTTGCAGATGGGGCAGTGGTCGGAGCGCTGCAGGCACTGGCGCAGGCAGTCGCCGTGGAAGAGGTGCTGGCAGGGCGTGACGCGCGCCCGCTTCATCGGGCTCAGGCACACGGCGCACACGTCCTCGAACTCCGCCAGCTCCTCCTCCGTCGCGAACCTACGGCACAGCAACGCTCGCTCTTAAAACAGTTCCTTATCTCGCAAGTGAGTAAGAGATGTTTTTGTTGGCCAACGCCCACCCTTGGCGTGTTAGCCATTTGGTGACGCGCCGACCAGTATACACGTGCGGACTTTCCCCTCAGCTTGTAGGGATCCGCACGCCCACAATGGTCAAGCGCATAGGTGGCGAATCACTGTTGCTCATTTAGCGCTACCCAGGGGACACGTGTGGTAGCCACGGAGCAAAAAGAAAGTAGAATTTATATTTTAAGAACAGTTTCCCAACGTTTACTCAAAGCCGGCAAAATGTGACAGCGAACATTTTTGTTTGCACTGATTCATATGGTACTAGAAAAAACATACGAATATACAATTTCTTATCATATCTGATCGTCTTTTTGACATTTTGACGTATTTTATAATTGTATCCCTACATGATTAATGTTATAATACAAAATATATTGAATTTGACATTATCCTTTATTAATTTGAATATAATAAGCCAATTTACCTACTGTAGGAAGTTTTATTACATCGTATTTAATAATGAGCTGTTTAATGAACGCCAAACACTTAAAGAAATAGAGTACAGGGACGATCAGATTAGATAAAATGTTTTACTTTAGTACATTTCATATGTTGAATGTTTACTAAGTTTCCTGTCGCGTGTGTCACGTTTGATGTTTCGAATTCAGACCATTTCAACGGGATAATCCCGTTTCAACAATGACGTGAATTATATTATATTATCACCAAATCTCTTGGCCGATGATCATAGTCAGTTCGTTCAGTTTTCAGTGAACCATAAGCAAAACACAGAAATGATTCCCAGATTTTCTTTTGTACAACAACACTAGTGCTTATCTACAACTCAACGGTAATATGTGTTTTTGTTTATTTTGATGCAAAAAATTAACTAAATGGGTAGATGATCACTGCATAATAGCATAATGATGTGAAATGAGAGCAGAGAAGGCGATAAGTGTTATCGCGATTCGACAGCAGCCACCATCTCCAAAAGTTAATCAAGTTAAACAATTGTGGAAAGTGATACAAATTTACTAATTTCATCCATTAATTTAATTTGCGTATGATGGTAAAAAAGATGTTGAAAAGAATGCTAAAGAGAGGGAAAACACCATCAGACAAGGTTACTTGGTCTGCTTCTGTTTGACGTTGTCATTGACAATTTAATTATTTGGCCCTTTTATAAGGTGTATAACTGATCGCTACATCTCGGATGAGTGCCCCACAGAGCTAAAACGGACAATATTAATGTATTGGGGGAAATGTAGTAGATTCTTAATGTAGCACTTTCTGCCTTTCTAACAAACAATTTTGTCGATAGCCATGTATGCAATCCCGCGTTGCTTACATGCATTGTGTGCTGCCTAAGAGTAGGAGCTTCTCAGAAGATCCGTTTTCTGGCAATGATTTTACTGAGTAAAATATTTTTAATATATAACATACATTTTATTTTATTACTAAATTAATTTAATAGTATTAAACACACCAACAATTTAATAGGAAACTCAAATAACTCAATTTGTAAATATATTTTTTGCAATTCTCCTTTATTCGCCCAAAAGTAATTACTTTTCGGAACTGTACAATGGGATAAACACATCAAACAAAATTTCAAAATATTTAGAGGTGGATATTTTAACCCCATTACATTTGGGCAAAAGGAGTTTTCACATTAACACAATAGAACATTCAAACAAAACTGTCTTACGAGTGTTACCTCCAAGTAAACATTAGGTATAAATTACCGATGCATAATTTGAGCAGTGAATAAAAAATAGAGAAATTTTTCACATATACCAGTATGTTTTTCTCTTTGTTTTTTTTAAACATTTCCCAGACGAAGTCAGCCACTGTCTACACACAATTTAGGTAAATATCGAACTATACATTTCACACTGCTCAAAAGGTATGGGGCCATCAAATTTCCATGTATTTATTCCATTGGCGCAAATCAATATTCAACTTTAGTAGTAATAAAATAAATATTTATGAATAACTTTGTTTTTAAAACACATAGATATTTGTATATCGATCACATTTTATACTTCAATTTTAATTTTCATATGCGGAAGTGTACATAAAAAACAGCTACCATCAAAAGAAAACTATTTTGCAATTCTTCCGGAAGAAGTTCCGTTAGACTGGTGAATGATGCTCTAGAACAGTGATCGGTATACCATCTATCGTGAACTACTAGTAGCTCGCGGGGCAATTTTCGATAGATCGCGGTCATGTCCATTAACCGAGATTGGTTAACAAGTCTAATGAAATTTTGATTCAATTTTCAATTGAATTTTTCATATATAGTTTTATTAAAATAGGTTTCATATTAAAAAGAAGTTCATTTTTATACACAATAAACAAATATTAAGATTTAAATTTTGTCTGTCTTGGTATCTCACAGTAGAATTGAAAACGGTATGACAGCTCCCAAGCTTCATAAATTTGGCGACCAGTTCTCTAGAATAACAGGTTGGAAGCCTAAATAGATAGAACAAGAAGGCGAAGAAGTGGAAGAAGGTGAAGAAGTGGAAGAAGGTGAAGAATTAGAAGAAGAGGAAGCGAGTGAGGAATTGGCAGAAGGAAAAGCAGAAGTGGAATTACAATGCGAAGAAGCGCCCTTGTGTCTTTTGAGCAGTGCATTAACCCATCTGCTGCCTACTTCCCCGACGCGGCGAATGAGCGCACCTGAACCTGCTGACGGCAGCGCGCTCCGCGGCGAGCGCGCGCACCGAGTGGGCGGCGGCCTCGCGCCCGCGCAGCCACACGTTCAAGTAGAGCGCGGCGGCGGGCCCGCGCCACAGCAGTGGCTGGCGCCACAGCAGCACCACCGCCGCCACCGCCGACATGGTCATGGCCAAGGCGCGCAGCAGCACGGGCGCCCACAGCGCCTCCAGGCCCTCCAGCGCCGGCGGTTGCAGCCACAGCAGCAGCGAGGGGAAGCTCTCCGAGAACACCTGCGCATGCGTGTATATGGCATTGCCCACACCACTCAAAGACGTTATACACATGTATATTATAAAGGGAGTTAGTGAATTAATGAAAGAATCTTCTAGGGCACATGGAGGGATCCACAATTGTCAGTTTTGCCAATAGGAAATCATTTGGCTTTACTCAGATGGATTTATATTATACATGTACATCATTCATGCATTTCAGAATAAATTTTACAACTTTCTAGGGCATGTTGAGGGTGATAATACCATTCTGCCAATAGGATATCACTTAGCATTACCCACACGACGCGAAGCAATTATAAATATATTGTATTATACGAAGGTCTCGGAATAAATGCTACACTTCTAGGGCATGAGGAGCTGTCGAAATGCTCACTTTTTGCCACTAAACCTATATTGAGAAATTACATTAAAAGAAGTTATATCCATTTATGGAAGTGGCATGTGCTTTTGCTCTTATCCTGCAACTTCGTATGTACAGATGTTCGTCAGGTGATATTCTGATTCATTCAAGGAAATTTCATGTACCTATCGAACATCTATGCATAGGCGGTTAAGGGGCAAATGTCACATGCACATAACTCACAGATGACTTCTCACAATTAATTTGTAGAGAGATATCTCAAATAACTAAGTTTCTCAATACCCAATTTTAACATTGCGCACCTGTTTCATAGGCAACCCACCCTGCACTGTTGTTTGGCAGATATACAGGAGACGAACTGTCACTTGGGAATATCAAAATTCGTTTTTCGTCTTCATTTTTCGTATTTGAAAACACTAGCGTGCGGCATTTTGCTTCATACACCCGTCCAAGAAAATATCTATACATTACGTTTAAAATGTTTTCTGTTCATTCCTTCCTTTTTGGGATTAACATATTTTAAGCTCAGATAAAAATACTATTCCCTCTCAATAAATTATTTTGTAATGTTTTCGAGGAATTCTCATGTATTACCCAATAATTTAAATAAACATTGCTGATGTGTATTCTTCTTCAAATTCAAAAAGACAATATCACTCATGGTTTTCCTCAAGTCAGCGACAATGTTAAAAAACATTACACAACAGTTTGAATAATCTGGTGTTTTAGCGGCTCGAGGACTGATTAAAAGTTATAATCATAAGTGTTCCCATTGGCGTAACATATCTTTCTTCTTGTTCTGAAAAGATTTATGTAATTTGTTTGATATCACCATCTCGTAATAATATTTTTGGTCTCAATCGTTAATCATTTGAGTCGATAATTTCGGGCAACAGTCATTTATGTAATGAATTACATTTCAATATCTTCATTTTTATTTGATTTGAGACTATTTAGTAATTATGAGAGTGCTTAAATCATAATATTAAATAAACGAATACCGGAAATTAACACAAATTCTTATTAAACACCGACTAACCTTTTCTGTGCACATGTAAAACAATGCTGTGACCACGGTGTACGCGATTGTGGGTTTATAGTGTTGCAGTCCCTGCTCGAGTCCAAAGACGAGCAGCATGAAGACGACTGTGATGATGAAGGTGACCGCCTTCGTCCACTCCAGCACGATCTTGGTGGCGGACATGGCGAGGTGCTTGACGTTGGACCGCTCGGTGATGGTGACGTACGGCGACCAGTCTTCCTTGTGGATCAGCTCCTTGATGTACGCCACGCAGTACGCGGTGACGTTGTAGAACATGAGCGAGTACAGGCAGGCGACTCGCGACTCGTCCAGCAACAGGCGATCGCACAAAGTGAAGAACATCACCTGCGCGCACGGAGGAGAAGTGGCATGGATAAGAATGCAAGACCTATTATTGTTTGTGTTAATTGTTAATTTGCAGGATAAGAAATTGCATAATAAGCCTTTTATGATTGTTCCTTAATTCAATGTTGATATCAATGGTATCGTGTAGTTCGTTTATCAAAAAATATTAATCAACATAACAAGTCTTGATAATTTGTAAGTCATATTTTTGAAATGTGACTGAAGTACATTTACCCCTTAAAAATTAAAAAAATATTTATATTATTTGAAAACAAATACTGTATCCAATGTATACAAATGTAATGAATCGTAGTAAATCAAACTGTAATAAAAATGTAATAACTCCTCAAAGTTTTATTAAAAATAAACTCTGCATTCAACGTTGACCCACTCTGATGATATTTGAATAAGATAATTGTACTTTACTCAAAATTAATCTTCTGATATCCTAGTTTTCAATACGTACGAGTTTTGAATTTGTGCAGAACATACAACTGTTACCGCATGAAAAGGAGTTTTAATAAAATTGGTTCACGGGATTGGTCAGTGTGGGTAAAGAAACAATTAATTGCGCCAACGTTTCGAAATATTTAATTTCTTCATCAGGGCTATAGTGTAAAGGAAAATGAACAGTGCACGAGGACAACAAACATTTCAATAAATAGATTCAGTAATTAATTACACAATACAAACAAACAAAAACATTAACTAAGACAAATGAACCACCAAAATATAAAAGTTTATTAATACTAATTTTTCTTTGTCTTGGTTTATAAAAATTTTTGTCGTTTGTGCAGTGTTAATTAATTAATTAATTAATTAATCAATTTATTGAAATGTTTGTTGTCCTCATGCTCTGTTCATTTGTATTTATACTTTAGCCCTGATGAAGAAATTAAATATTTCGAAACATTGGCACCACTAATTGTTTCTTCACACACACTGACCAATCCCATGAACTACTTTTATTATTCATCAATGGTCGTGATTTCTACAACGGTCGAAAAGGAGTTTGAAAAACAATGTAATCCAAAATTTTCTCCTCCTTATTGATGTTCCCCGAACCGTCAGGAAAAGAAGCGACAAAAGAGTCCACTAATAGCGGCCCGAGCCCACACACGTGCGCGCGTCCTATTTTGGCGGCGGGAGCCCGTCACGTCCCTTCCGCGTCCATTCCTCCCTCGGAAGTTCATTTTCCGCCTGTTGATTCTCCTCAAGAGCCGTTGCTGTTCGCGCAGCCGCGCAGACAAATCTCAGCGCGCGGCGCAGGCGGCCCTGGCGCAGGCGGCCCTGGCGGCGGCCCAGCGGCAGAAGCTGCAGCAGCGGCAGCATAGGCAGCTGGCGCGGGGCTCACCTGGTTCACCATGAAGGAGATGTTGGCCATGCGCAGGTAGGACTGCTCGAGGCGGTCCAGCGGGCGGAAGATGCGCTTGGCGATGCGGCGGACGGGCGCCGCCGCCTCCCACGCGGCGCCTGCGCACACGCACACACGGATGAATGACAAAAGAAAAGAAAAAAGAATAGAAAAAAGAAAAGGAAAAATAGAAAAAAGAAAAGAAAAAAGAATAGAAAAAAAGAAAAAAGAAAATAAAAAAGAAAATAAAAAAAGGATCGAAAGGAGAAAAGGAAAGAAAGAAAGAAAGAAAGAAAGAAAGAAAGAAAGAAAAGGATCGAAAGAAAGAGTACAAAAGGTAAAAGTATACACGGAAAAAAACAGAGAAAAGAATAATGGAAAATAGCACAGAATGGAAACGAATGAAGTAAAAAATTAGGGAAGAAAGAAAATGATGAATACAATAAAAAAGACAAAAGATGTGATGGAAAATTGTAAAATAATAATAAAAAGGAAACTAATGAAATGAAAAACTAGAGAGAGGTGAAGGAAAGACATGAATTAAGTAAGATTTAATAATTTTAGATAGGATACAAGAAAAGTTAAGAACAAGATACAATTTTTTGTAAATATTAAATATTTTAATTATCGCGAGTTTCATAAAATGGAACTCAAGAAATTTCTGAACTATTTTTTCTCGGTGTTTGTACTTTTCTTTCAATTTTCCTTTAGATAATGTGCCAGGAACGCATACATATGAGAAAACTAAAAAAGAAATACTCAGGGAGTGCTATCGTGCCACTGTTTTCATGCCTCCACTTACTTCCTAACAGAGTCATCTTTAAAAAATTGAAGGATTTGTTGAATGAGTGTGTATTTGTCCTGTTGTGGGAAAGTGTATTGAGAATGAACCTGATGTTACTGATAGATAAAACTACTACACGTGAGAGAAAGTAATTGGAGATAAACACTAACTAATAAGCTATTCTCAAACAGAATTTGGGGTCCATCTTTTATAAATACAAAAAAGATGACATAGTAGAGACAGAAAGTGGTCGAACTATCAGATATACCCATAACCCGATGTCTTATTATTTTTAATTAATTAAATGAAACTTATTTTCATTAACGACTTACTGTTTTCATAAGCACTTATTTATATATGCGTAAAGCAATTTCTTAAGTTTCAAGAAAAGTGCAGTGATTAAAAGGATTGTAAAAGTTTATGTAACAAAAGATAAACTACTGTAAATTACTGTAATAAATTTGGGGAATGTAGTTTATTATGAAACCTCTTATTTCCCAGTAACCACATTTTTCATATATCCTTGAACTGAGAAAATAAAAAAAATGGAAAAGGTCATAAAAACGAGACAGGAAAGCCGTGGGGATATATTACACAAAAGCTGTAGATCACCTACAATTTTGCCACCATACGTATTTCATTTCTAGGATTTGGAAGGTGAAACTACACCACAGGTCATTCTCGAGTAACCTTTGCCGTTATGATGAGACACCACAGTTACCTAAAGATTAAAAAAGGTCGGGTCTAGTGATAACGATGATGTTTATTAGGAGTGGGTGCTAAATTTCACCCGGGGTCTCATCAATGCCCGGGTCCGTCCGTAAGATAAAACTTGAGTTCACACATTAGAAATTTGTTGACATATTTTCGAAATATTTCTTTGAATCTCTTGAAAGAAAAGTATCTTCAACTGTGTCTTGTCGTTTCGAAACGAACCATTTCCAAAAGAATCTAGTAGAAACGAGTTTCTTTTGGTAAAAGTGACTCTCAGTATCTTTCATTTTAGCAGCTACATCATTTTTATAATTTATGTCCGAGACTCTGCACCCATTTGCTTTTCCAATGTAGGCGACGACTGTTGCAGCTGCAATTTAACGAAAGGAAATTTGCACTTTTGCTTTACGAATAATGTGTTGATACAAGAAACCCAAGTTTCTTTGCCTCGAACGTCTATGGAAACTAACGTTACTCTCCTTCGAAGAATTTATTAACTTATGATTCCTTGCTTCGCGTTCCTTTCAGATAGTGCGTCTGGCCTTTCCCCCCCTTCAGGACTATGAAGTACTCATAGTAACTCTTTAGGACTATGTATTAGTTGTAACTGTCTTCCCAATTTGGCATCTTCTTGCACCTGAGACACCTTGTGGGGCCTCTACGGTAGCAAGCCGCACCGACTCGACCTATCAAAAGAGAACCCACATAACTCCCCAAATCTAACGAAGATGTATGCCTTGAGCCATCAAAGTATTGACCTCATCTATGTTGCCTGTGTTTGTCCGTATTTACATTTACATTCTTGCATATTTTATCGGGATAGGGAGCCAGTTCCTTACGTCGCCCAAGATCTTCTAGAATAAGACAGGAATGTAGGAAAGAGAAAGATATAGAGGTGATACATGAGAAACTAAGAATATCATCATCTCAAATGAAAAAAAACTTACAGGGACACGAGCCAATCCAAATCAATTGGGGAATATTGATTTTCGCAAAATTCCTACCAATAGTTTAGGCGCCAGTGTTGTTGTTCAAAAACAACAGATGGACGTTTAAAAAACCAGTTTTTCGATATCTTGGAACTACAAAACGTGTATTCTGATTTTAATACGAATTAGTGATACTAATTTACTACATATAGGAGTATGAAAAACTCCTTATGACAAAACCAAGGAGACAAAAAACGAATATTTTTGTCGAAAAAACAGTACTTTCCCCTACGTGTGTTTCAATCCACAACCCTGAATCCAACCCACAGCCCTTGGGCTACCTATTCCAACTCACAGCACCACCGAGCTAGTTTCTTCACGTCTTCCGAGTCTTCCGACTCCATCCTTGTGGTGACTACTTCTCGCCCTGGCTCTCTCACCCCCTCCCTGCTCACACTGCCCCGAACACGTTAATCGAACAATACTGTCCAGCCTGCGCCGGCCATCGACATCGACGAGCGGTGTTTTCCGAGCGTCGCGGGTCGTCAGCGTCGCTCGGACGGACGCCGACGGACGCGCGCGGCGCCGCCGGACGACGCGCCGCTGACCCGTGAGGGCCGGCGCCGGGCGGCGCGGAGGCGTCGCACCCCTATAAGAAGGGTGGTCGCCCGGCGTCGGCCGCAGCCTTCGACTCGCAGCCGACATCGCCGCCACCGCCGCCGCAGTCCATCCCGATCACACCGACGCCCGGTAAGTGACGCGCCTTCGGCTGGGGAGGATCCAGACAGTGTTGCTGGAGAGGGTGGCATTTTCAGTTTGGACCTTCACTAAATATTTGGGGCTCCGTTGTTTGAAATACCGAAAAAATTAAAAATGAATCTTCCGATCCAAAAAAGTATACACCTTAACGGGAATTCTACTTTGGATGGTATGCATTCAGTTTGTAATCCTTTTTCGTAAGTTGATAAAAATTAACGATAAAATCGTTAAATTTGTGGGACTCTGCTCTCATGGTCCCCTTCTGGATCAGTTTTTAACTTGAATTCTGTAGTTCAGTCTAACCACTGAAGATGCATCCAGTCAGTTATTGGAACGCAGATTCTATTTATGAAATAATGATATGTAGACCAGGTTTCAGGAACAAACTTCTATTTCAAAGTTTTCCAATAAACACAGAAATATTTTTTAAATTAAAAATTAAAGTTCAATTTACGATCTATTGGTGCTGTCTACTCATTATTAATATTATTTAGAAGAGAACATCTCAGAGTTTGGTCACACACAACCAGTTTCCTAGAGCTCCGTTGCAGCACTTCGTACTTCAATGGAGAGTTTACCACCTCTTTCGGTTTGGCGGTCACGCCCTAGGTGCCCAAAGACGCTTTCAGACTTGGT